CTTCCAGTCATTGGGTGGCGATAAACTCAACTTTAAAATATGTAAAATCCCGAAATCTCAGATTACATTGATAACAGACTTATTTTTGGGTTTTTCGGTCAAACATTTTTTGGATAACAAGCCAGCATGTGTTAGCAAATGTGAAACTCCCACACATAGGCCTGGATAAATAAAACTACACACCACATTTTAGTTGTAACCTGCACAATAAAAGAAATTAGTCCACACTTGTTAATTTGAATCTGAGTCTTAACAAGAGAGTATTTCCACAGAAAATGCATTGACTGTTTGCTCGTAGGGAAAATAACCAGTAATTACATAGTGGATGCATGGAATTCTTTAACCGCCAGTAGGTATTTAAGAGTCTGAAAGAAGGCAAGATGTGCAGTGCCGAATCGCAAAAACATCACCAGGAACCAAGCGTTGTAAGTGTATATTGCAATCAAAATTTTCATATCTTGCTAGGGATTCATAACAGGGCTGCCTCAGGGAAGTTATCATTAATAATAATAAAACCACTTCCAGATGTTCATTAGGTCGAATGTCCGCCTAAGCAAGCACTTTTCTGATTATGTTACCAAGTAGTTTTATTGGTCTATGGGCTATCTTTTCAGTCTTTTGGTCCTTTCAGCAACCTTTTCATCTACATTTTTAGTTCAGTAAAACAACTGAAAGTGGATTTAATTTATTCCCTACGATGCACTTATCACGCACCAAGCAAGCATAAAATTTAAAGAAGGCATATTTTTCTACCAAACGAATAGAAGGAATTATATCAATGATAAAAATGCAAACTACTTAAATAGCCACTTTTTGCAGTACATAAATTTTGTTAGCGGTCAAAAGGAAACTCCTCAAAAAGCCGGCATCCTATCCTTACGGAATTGACTTTAGAATTGACAACGCGATAATTAGTATTACAACCTTACCCAAAGCCGATTAGCGAGAGAGTATTAAACTTTCGCATATGTCGGCATGTTACACGAATTTTTGGCCTTACTGTAAGGTCAGTGACTGGCCAAACCATGTAAATTCCATCGAATACTGTAAGGGATCGTTCATTCAGGTCTGTTTAATTATGCCCAAATAAGGAATGGCACTCATCTCCCCCGAAAACTTAGATGGGGATCTTCCTTACTGCGAGGTCAGAGGAAAACTTACTGAGCTCGGGGAACCAAAAATAGCGCAGCTGAAGGTAACCGTGAGGCTGCCGTTTGCCTGCAAAATCAGCGGCTGAGTGTACTGCGGCTGAATTACACCTAAAGAAAAAATAGAGTAATCAAGCGCTTTTTAAATGAAAGTGTGCTGTTTAGTCTTTTCGCGTAAAATATCCAGAAAATGTCCGTCAAATGCAACTTTATAAAGTGAATAAAAATGCAGCCACTCCAATTGTAGGCTGTCTGCCGGACGCAAAATGGTCCTGGAAGTCATTTAATTACAAAACTTCATTAAAATACGTGTAGGGCTGTTTTACTCCGTCTTGTATATGGATAGGTCTTCCGTTCGGGCAAAACATACGTCTTCTGAGTTACAACGTTTTTTGAAGTGTTTTTGGAAATCACCAGAGTTCTGAAAAATGCAGTAGAAGTTGCAATACCTCTTTAACTTTTCACTCGCTTAGAGTCTTTCAATATTATTGTTTTGTGAGTTTGCGAGTACTTGAAAATTTAGGAAATATATGATGTTCTTCTTAACTGCTCACCGTAAGTTAATTAGTATTCCAAATTCTCTGCATACAGGTCCATTTCAAAAATACTTTGTGAACTTAACCATCTGAACAGATGGTGTTTCCACAGTGCAATGGGAGTTCTACTTTTAAGGTTTATAAACAGGCAAGTGCCCTGCATCTACAGCCGGTAGTGATAGTTCTACAATACCGATGTCAGTATTTGGCAGCCCTAGATAGAAACTACTTAGCCTGCGCTCAAGAGAGATATGTATGCGTTGTTCAAAACGACGCACTACCTGGTAATGTTTGAGATCTAAGTTTTAAGTACGGATGCCGGCCACCTATAGTTAAGTTTAAATAATATTTAAATGATGTATGGTAAAAACAGAAAACAACAACATAATTCTTCCGGAGTATGAGATAAATAGCCTAGCGCGTACGTACTCACAGTCAGAGTAATATGTGTTAACATATGCCAACAGCAATATGTTTGTACTGCGAAGGTTTCCTACCTAAGCTCAGATGAGACCAAGTTCCATTGTTGAAAAAGAAGATGGTTATTGGAACGAGTGAATTACTGCCGAAAAATGTGATATAATCCAACTGATCGCTCATGATGCCCTCAACCATCGCAATGGACCAATCCGAAGACTCTACAAAACAGTAAGGAAAATGTACACACAAGTCACGCGTGGCTCATTTTATCTGAAAGTTCTGATACAGGAAGACTCTTTCGGTCTCTTGCGCCGCCTTCGGCAGTTCACTCTGCCCCTGACCCAGTGGACAGATATCAAGATTCGATCGGCCCCTCACCGGGCGTGGCTTTTGCAGAATAGGTTCATGGGGCGGTCACCTGTTTGTTGCTAAGGCGATTGCATGTTTAGCATAAGTTCTCAACTTCAGCAAAACTGCTGTAATCATCCACAACTTCGCATGCTTAAAAGTGCCTTGTTGGCACGTTAGAGATCACCTTACACAAAAATATTCTTCAAAGTTGTCGAAACGGCGGCTGTAGTAGGTGGTGCATGCGAAAGGCAGAAGCGAGTGCAATCCACGGTGCTCTACGATTTCAAAAGTATCCCGGTGCACCAAAAAGCTTCGAAAGGCGGCAGACTTCATCACACACCGCAGACTAGTTGCAGTCAAGTAGTCGCTACTAATCAATAATACTCACAGGCAGAACCGTCAGGTCTAAACCATGCTGCTCAGTAAAATACTCCGACTTAAGCATAACAAGTACACCAACGTACCGCATAATAAGCATGGGAAAAAGGTTTTATCGATTTTCCCACGGGCGTATACACCTGTGTGCACTCACGTGACCAATCAATATGACTAACAATCGAATTCGATAGGGCGAAACCAAATTTGAAGCCGCTGGACAGCCGTTCGCTGGGCGAAGCCATTTGATTGCAAATGCTGATAGAGAAGGTCCCTGTCATTGCTGAGCATTCCACTGCCCGAGGAGCCCAACATTGATATTAATAGTGTATTGCTCTGCAAAACTCATTCGGAAAAACGAAGCAAACTATGATTGTGCGTGGTTCACATAAGGCCGCGCTTTGAATTCTAGGAGGGAGCAGTGTTCACTACAATTGACCGAACTCCAGAGGTACTGGAACGAAATCGGGTATAGAACAGCCCATGGCCTGAATTTATCGAACTTAGCTGAGTTCCTGTGAGCCCATAACTCCTGCTGCGTGGTGCAGGCCTCAGAGGCGATGCGTCTTGCCACTGTGCCGAATTAAATCAACAGTCGGCTGGTGCCTGGGTGATGGACCAGCACTGGGAAATCCATCCTGCGACGGGCCAGGTGATAAAGGCGCTGGGACAACGCGGCGCGGTCAGGTCAGCTCAGAACACGATAGAAGTTACTCGAAGTTACGTATCCATAGCAAATGCTATAAATAAAGGGAGCGTGGTGGCACAACCGGGTTCAGGCTGACGGCGCGCTTGCCACCGGCTTCCTATAACCGCCTTTGTTCTCTCTGACTGTGTCTTCAAACTGGACTCAGATTATTGAGGTTGAGTGTGTGTGTGTGTGTGTGTGTGTGTGTGTGTGTGTGTGTGTGTGTTAGAT